ATTGACATTGGTGGAAATGGCCCAATCGTGCGGTCAGTAGCACTCATGAATCAAAGCCATCGCCTTCAATGGGTAGCTACCCAATTTCTGAACAAACTGGGCATGTCTTCGCCTCTACGGCTTGGTTTTGTATCTCCCTTTTCCATTTTCTGGTGATCGAAACTGTAGCAGCTGGAATGTGCCTATAGCACACGGTTTATAGCTGATAAATGGGACTGATTGAATTGAATGTTAAGACGAATGGAGACGAAGGTCTCTGCGACGTTATCTGCCGCGAATAAATGCTACAAATGTGGATCCTAAAACCTGTGTTGGATATTCATTAGAAAAAGAGCAAATGTTGGGGATATCAGTATCCCCAAAACTGTTTGCTTGTTGACTTGTGAAAGTTTCCCCATTTATATGGGATCCTCAACACTAAACTGAAAGAAGCAATGCTAAAGGAACTATATAGTTACAAACCTTCAATTCGATCGTCTCTTCTTTGAAGGAACTTTAATACGCTACAGTGTTCCACGTTCCAAAACCATTACCCACACACCTGAAGAAGAGGCAATGCAGATCTTGCGACCCCGAAGTTTGGCAGCCGGTTTCTAACAAAGGCATTCAAAAGGTAGTGTTATGCACCACGTTGCGACAAAGAGGAGAATGTTGTTTGTGGGGGTGAATTCAAGGACTTTTAAAGGAAATAAATATGCAAACACCACCACGAGACAGAAACCGTGCAAGAGTAGTTAACGCACATGAAGTAAAAGCATGACGTCTACTTGAGCGGGACCCATTAGGTCGTGGTTGACAAAGTAAGTTGTTAATATCTACATACTGTGCCGGACAATTTTCTGAAGTTTTACCCTGGTGATAAAGATTATATACAGGGACTATGCCAAAATCCACTAGTTTGTTGAAAAAGTGCGATTTACAGAAGAATCAACTAAACAAATACGTAAGTGATTCGAGGAGTAAGTAGATATGAGTATATCCCTAATCCAAAAATTCAACCAGTTAGGCAGTTGTGACTAAGTAAAGTTAAAACCGATTCACTAAATTGAATTTGCACTCGCCTGAATCAAAGAACGGAAATGGCCGGGCTACGGGACAGTTAAAATAATGGGGATAAGAAGGCAGCAAACCTAGTCTATGAAAATGAGCAGCAGAAATAGACGACGTCTGAAAACACGGCTCCAAATGTTCTCTCATCTGAAGAACAGTTGACTGTTCGTGATTGAAAAGGATAACCGGCACATAATGGCCTCCTCCTTGGAAAAAACAGTACCAACAGGTCAACAAGAGCACCATAGTGCTTTTATTCGGATTCCTCATCTTCAGCACGCGGTTGTAAGTTGATCCCATTATGAAACTGATACGTAGACATCAAATTAAGGGGATGATCTGTTTCGAAAAGGAATAACTTCGCGGAATGGTCAAGAGCCTCACTGTATAACGGATCCAACCCTTAGCAAGTGGGTACTGTGGAAAGCGGCATCTAATAGATGCTCGTGTGAAAAGCTCGGTTATTCTCGGAGTATCCATAAAAAATTAATGCTCCTAAGCATTCAAATGAACATGACAGATACCAAGCAAAGATGACATTCAACTAAAAGTGCTTTTATTAACCAGGGGGTTTCGAATTCTGAGAGGTGAGATGTGAAATTGTGGAACCAGGGAAGATGGGTTGTGAAAAGGCGCTACAAGGTTGACATTCAAGAACTAGTTTTCCGAGACCGTCGTAACAGACTTGTGAACGTACTTTACGAAATTAACCCGTCGATGAGGAGAAATTCGGAGATGTAAAAAGTCATGAGTATTTCATGATTTATCGACGGACGCTTGTAGTACAATCTCTTAGGTAGTCATTAGTCCAAATCAATTGTTTAATTACTTGTACCATCAGCCTTTTGTTAAAGGATAGCTAGATCTCTCCTTGCCTAAGGCTACCGAACCTACTTAATGTATCAACCTCACATAATTTGGCTAGAAAATCTTGAAGGTTACAGTTCTTGAAGCAAGTTTGTGCTGTGCTTCCAAGTGACCAGTTAAACATATTACATATCGTATCACCACCGACTGTTTGTTTTAACGACCAAAAGTAACTGCGCACTATCACCAAAATCCCTTCTTTGGAGATCACGGACAGGAGGAATAGGAGAAAATACCGGGCGAACGCTTCACTGAGGAGGACCGTCTCATCTTGATGGAAGAAATAAGATAAATAATCTCTCAGCTATGGCACCCTTTGAGTGCCTAGTTTCCGTGTCAACGGAAGGAGGCATGAGGGCTGGGATACTGTCATGTTGCCCAAGACTAGACGAGAGCAGTCAGGATGCTCAGGGTGGATGCAAACTACGGACCTTCCGGTCCTTAAGCTGTCTCCTTAACCACTGAGCTATCTTGATGAGTGGGAAGGCTGTTACTTTTAATCTTAAACGAGATGCACTAATTAGGCTAACATGATTTTGTCTTGAAGTTTGATAAACCGGAGATGTTTATGGGGTTTACAGCGCAAGAGGTTCCTTTGGCTTCTTCGAGGGCGAGAATATCTTCAAGGATGTATTGTACAGAGTTCTAGTTTGTTTGTAAGTGTAACCTCACTGCATTACTGACACAGTAAAATTGATGTACCCAAATTCCAGTTTCCAAAAATTGCTCTCCTTATTTTACAATTTTAAAAGAGCAGGTTTTCATCAGACAGGAGCATTGATTCGGAGTCAGTTTTTCAAACCCTCAGACGTGAACAGGTATAGTGAATCAAGAGCATTGCCGCATTTTAAGGAAAATGAACGAGATACATAGTCACGCTGTCCTGTTAGGGAATAAACGGTTATAGGCGGAGCTGCCATATGGTTTTATTGAGGACACACTCATGGGGACACAAATTCGACTACAGTACAAATCTCCTTCATCCCTAAAATACTTATCCTGCCGGTCCATCTAAAAGCAGCGTGGTACACTAAGGGGACACTCAGCCGGCCAACCAACATTTGCAGTGGAAATTCGCACAAAAAATTCTGAAGTAACTCCAGCCAGAAATATGCTAAAATCCTTTTTATTGAGAAAGCATCTTCTCTCACTGCGCCGTATAAGAAGGTCAGGAAAATACAGTCGTTAAGCTGTCAAAGCTTATTATTAAATGACCACTGAGACAAAAAACAACGGAAGCGAAAGCAATCCAAGATTCCCCCGGTCTTGACAAAATAAGCTGGGATCGTGCTTTAAACACGGACCTTCCAATAGCCGTCTCAGTAAACAACGACATACCTTGAGCTCGAGAGTACAACTAAAAGAAGTTCACTGACCGGGAACACGGTTACTTATTTATTCTGGGTGAACCGATTTCGAGTAAGTAGATTCAAAGCTTTATAAGAAACATCAACATTGTGGAATATACCGGTGGATATGGTCAACGAAATGCCCATTATAGAAAGAATAGGTAAGAACCAAACAGGGTAAGCACCGAAAAGATGGTTTGCAAATACCTATATGAAACATCCTGGATGACCATCTGAAACTACAACAGTATCCAAGGTCATAGGAACTGAATATAGTCAGATGTGTACAGAGTAAACTTCATTACTTTGATCGGGTATGCCGGAAAAGACCCAGTGATAAGGTTAAGATACGTAATTTGAATGGTTAAGTAAAGTGGTAGAAAATTTTTAACTAAACTTATTATTATGGATATAACCGAGGCTCATCGTCTAAAGGTAGGTTGGAGAGGACTAAAAACCAGTACCGGCAACTCCACCAGTACAAACACCATCGCGATTATCATTACTATAATCACCATAATTAGCACGGCAATAGTTATTATCACCGTTATCACCACCAACTTAATTAGCGTGATCTTTCTGATAGGCACCGTTTGTATGAGGGTTCCTACGAGTGATGTAGAAAAACTAGCTCGATACAGAGCTCAAAAAATGTTTGGCGGTTCCCCTACTCAGGCACGACGACTTGATCTAGAAAAAAAGCAGAAATTAGTAGTTCACCTGGTGCTACTCACTTGACCTGAATATCAGAAGTCTGAGCAATACAGAGAACACCTAGAGAGTTCCCGCCTTATGTCGCGTAGGTCCAGCCCCAAACCAATCTCACGCCTACTGAAAATAAAATAGTTCACTATGTTCCGTGCACGACTCACGCGAGTGAGAATTTAGAAGACGTTTTTGCAGCAGCGGTAAACGTTTTACTATGTAGTATACACAAAAGCCACACCAAGGACCGCGCTGTCGTATGGTCCCTGTGGAGATGTGATGCTTTAACTTTTAACCTCCAACGTCTTCGGAGGTCCTGCATGTGTCGGATGGCGTCAACAACTTGGCAGCGAGACCACTAGAAAACGGACATTTCGTTGCAAAAGGTGCAGGAGAGAGAGGTACAGAGAGAGATAGCCGGCCATCGATCTGGCAAGGGAGATTACGAAACGTTTGGGTGCAGTCAGTGCTACCCGCCTTCCGGGATGGGGACCGCGTGATCTTCAATGCGCTTGGTTGGAGACGCCGCAAGTTATGGCTATTAATTGATGTCAGCGCTCCTCTTGTTTTGTTTCTCTCCAGATTACTTGTATGAGTGTCTGGAGGTGTGGACGCCTGGGGATGATTGCAGTAAGCTAACGCTTCTATTCTTCCCTCCACAATATGCATCATGGTTGTACGGCAGCAAAGCAAGTGTTGAACACTGATGTCATGCTCTGCTGACGATAATGACGAGGGACACCAGAACTACTGAGGGTGAGCAACTGATAAAAAGCGATTGTAATTAAACTACATCAGGAAGCGTTTCAAGAGATTCAAGTTTATGCTGGTGGACCAGCGAGTCACTAGTAAACTCTCTTAAATGAGGTATTTGGTGACGTAATTATATTATCCTGGCGTCATTTCGCTACGGAAGCAGGTGGTAAGGCAGCGGAGATACTACCAAAGCACCCAAGTCTGGACATAAAAATTATAACCACAAGGCGAATGGCCGACCATCATCAAGCCGTGAGCAAATAATTGAATTACCTTGCATCCTTCACAAGAGATGACGCCGTAATGATATCCGCTGGCTTTGTCTCCACAAACCTTGCAGGGTGTGAAAGTGGCCTTTATTGAACCAAGTGTTGAGTTGCTATCAGCGGCAGAAACCTCAGAACCTCCACCAATTGTCCTTGATGAATGTGATGTAGCACCAGCCGCGGAAATTGAGACATTCGCAAGGTGATCAGCCGAAGGAGAACGTAGGGCTGGGGAGCGTTTGCCCATCGTATCAGGACGCACAGAATCTGCAGCCACAGAACCAAGATTACTGCCAGACATAAGCATGTGGCAGGGAGAAGTTGTGACTCGCAGAGGTTGGACGCCGGATGAATATCGGTCAGGAAAAAGTTGGGAGGGGTCACCACGTGATTGAGGATGTGAGAGATAGCGTCCTTCTAATGAGCAAAGAGATCCGTTAATATGTTCTCGATTGTGAAACATCGGATGGGATTGTGGGATTTCTTGTGGAAAGGCGTTCCCAATGTTGTTTGAAACGGAGAATGATGTCGCCGAGACTTGACGGGAATAAAATGGGTTCTGAAATCCCTGAGGTGACATGTAAGTTGTAGAATACGTAGGAGCGTGTGGGAAACCCTCCGTGAACGGTCTGGAATCCTGCATAAATGACTGGTTGCCAGGTATGCCCTGCTGGCAGTAAGTCAGACCAGGGAAATTCTTTTCCGTAAAGGCGGACAAAGTTGACTTCATTGTAAGAGGTTCAGATGGGTTCATCATCGGATGAATCCCATGGAGTGAAGGCGAAGGCAGGATAGACCCCGAGAAATTGCTTGCATTTGTTTGCGAATAATTGCTGCTTACACCAGAATCTGAGTAATACGCGCTGGCTGCATCGTTAATGTCTGGTTTTATGTCGAGATTCGAGTCAGGGCTGTTTTCCATCACTAAATAAATAAGGAAAACAGTGTGACTCGCGAAATTCAATTTTTATCGCTTATTAAGCACATTTCCAGACAGGATAATACGAAGAAATATTAGGTAAACTTATGGCGCTTACATTTCTAAAACAGAAATAATCATGTGCAACCTTGTGGGCCAACGCAATCCGCATGCAGTTTCGATGGCAGCGGGTCCGCAATGTAAATTAAAGGTCACGTCAATTAACAGTGTAGTAGCGCATTTGAACAAATCGCTTGATTGGCCTAAAACGCTTGTAAACTACAAAAAACCAGAGAATAGTAGAGTACGGTTATTGAAGCGATTATCGCGATTCAGCAATCAGTTTGAATTGAGGAATGAAGGAAAAGAACAATTTTTCAGGGTTTTCCTCCCTACCCTGAGAAACGACGGTGTCTAATTTTTTCATATCAGAGTCCGGTATATATTGGGCTTCAAATTCTCAGGTAGATAGGAGGCCTATCGAGACTTTGGTCACAGATTACACTTCAAGTGTGGTTCAGATGTGCTCACTTTTTTCCGAGGACTTGCATTGGTAATCTACGAGGACCTCTGGTCGTTGCAAAATAGAGTACGGTGTATGAATATCGGTAGGGTGCGCTTGTTTGTGTTTTTCGAAATATTTGGTGTGGCATAACGATCATTTCTTTGTCCGAAGATAATCACGATATTCTCTGCTTCTGATGGAGTCAGCACCGTATGCGGCGCTTTGAATTCGCTTCATTTACCCATAATGGTACCACAGTAAGCGAAGGATAGCGACAATTGGGAAACCACGGAAATTCGACATAGGGTTGTCCCTGGAAAAAGGAAAATCACTGAGACACAACAGTCATAGTAAAAAGCATGACAACCTACTGAAACGTTGTTGGTACGAAAGTTCGGTTTATCCAGCATAAATCGAGCTGTAAATCCAATATACTCAGATTAATTATACGACACGCAATCTTGCGTCGATTTTTCCCTGAGAGAATCAAGACTACTGAACCATATCCGCCATTCAGGATGTTTCTTTCATTAAACAGCCACATCGTTTCTTAGGCTTCTGTCTCACAAAAGTGGTCGTCTTGTTTTTTGTAAGCAACTAGCCCCCGCTGTTACAGCAATATTTCATTCTGGTGAGGCTCTCCTACCTTACAGTACAAATACAAGCATGCAACTAAGGCGGGTACACCTTACCATGTGATAATGACGTTTCCACTCCTTGTGTCAAAATATTTGCAGGCTAATTAAGCATGACGAGAAGATCACCAACCACCTGATCAGAACCCAATAAGCGCACCTGCGCTACGAACACTCTAACGGACACTTCGTGATTTAGCTTTGCGTTACAAGCGCTTGAGATAGGGTGATTACTCTTCCTGGTTAGGCTGCTAGCCAGCGTAATGTGGAATGGAGGGCCTGGGTAGTGCTTGGTGTGTTTATGCTTCTCCTTATATGGCGTTTTGTATGAGGCGCAATTTTTATCAGGGTACTGCGTCTAGCGAACTTGGGTAGTTTTTGGAAGCACGCTGAGTCGGGGTATTTTCGAGAAAACCGTGGATCTCCACTTTCATCTGAAGGCGAATTAATTTATTTCGGATGTCTCACTGAAGAAGGGATCTGGTTGACTAGCAATTAGATGTGGGAGATCAAATCTGTCAAAAAAGGTTACCGGGCGAATGGTGAGATGTTATGGGCGGCTGTCTGTTCTCCTTTTTGGTATGCGCTGGATCTTTCAAAGGGGTACTGTGCGAATTGAGCCCCGGCCTAGCTTGCTGCGTATGCTATCTTGCCAGGTGGCCCCGGTTTGAAAGTGGTAAAATGATGCTTCCTCCTCTGTTTTCCCTCGCTGCAATGAAGGGCTTGGTGGGATATTTACACCGGCTGGACTTGATTTTGAAAATAGACATCAGCGGTCTCTGTCCATGGATCCTCTGATATGGGTACCCCACCTGGTTTTGATGAAGCTGCGTCTGACGGAACTTTCGATGATGCAAATAGGCGTCTCAGGTGTTGAGGTCTGCAGCCTTGCACCCAGTAAAGAGAGTTCATCGTGCGAGCAAGTTTTTAATGTAACGAGGTATGACAAGCAGAATGGTGAAGAAGGTTGTAGACACAAGATGGGCGAAGTAATAATTCCCATAACAATTCAATTGCCGGTGATTTGAAAATGAAGTTCGCTGTAAAATTAAAGTTATATGGGCAATGAACGGCGACAGCAAATTGGAAAAATGACGATGCTTGCCGGCTAGCGAAAGCTATGAAAGAAATTTAGATACACATTAAAACTAATGCACGGCGCTCCAGCTTGGTGTGTTCAAGTGATGAGAGTGAATGTACCAGAAATGTTCATTTGACGATAAGAGTGGGAAACTAACTGCTGATCGAGGCAAACTGAAGCTGCAGAGGCCAATCTTTCTATAAGGACTCCATACGAGCGAAATCTCCTTTGAACCAATTAGAAGGCTCAGAATGAAGCTATTCAATAAATCGCGAGAGCCTGTAAAGATCGGGGTCCCCTTCTTAGGCAGCGTACACACAAAATCAAATTGGCATCGCCATTGGTCATGCCAGATTTTGTGACAAATCGGTTGTTATGAACATCGCCCCTTTGCAGCAGCCGTCTTACCTCATTGCTTTTTCAAAAAAGCGAGGCTAGCGAGTATAGTGCATTTTAACAGCCCTCTTGAAGATATGCTATACACCAAATAGGCACGGGATTCATTAGTGTTATTAATCTGTTACCATAGTCTAGGTGCAATCGATACACATGGGCAGTGGGATTGCTGAAGTTCCCTGGGTCTGGTTGTAGGTTGCAGGTCTGTAGGTTTAGCGGACAACACTTGAATCTCAAATAAGGAAGTATTGTTTAATGCCGCTTTGAAAGACTTGGCCGTAAACGTAATCACTGCCAACATGAAGAATCGTTAGTTAAGATGCAAAAAAGCTACGTTCGGCGTTTGTGCTGACACTACCTTGAGGCACCATCTGTTTTACCTCGCACAGAGAATATACCACCATTCGAAAATGTGCACCTTCGTCTTTGTCAAGCTTCCATCATGTGAAGCAAATTATAGGCAATTACGCAGCCAAATCAGTTTACGGAAGTCGAATCCAGGCTTTGTGCAGGTGTCCGCAGAGGAAAACGTGGTCAGGTCACCCGTGGTAGCTGATAGGCCGGTGAACAATAGTCACCTTTGCGGCCCTACGTTGGGCACTTTCAACATTGTAGAAATTTTTCGTATCACGGTGGGAACTAAATAGTGAGCTCACAGTATTAGTGTCGCCAAATATGCATCGTATCGCTTTCCGAAATTCGCGGGTGCTGGCAGAAAGTTTAATTAGCTGCCCACCTTCCCTGGCACACCTTACGTGCCGTGCCATCAGGATAGAATGAAAAATTGATGGAGATTGCCAGACTCCCAGGTCCTTGCTGGGTCCAAAATGTATGCTGTTGAATGCATTTCGTCACCGCGCAACACCGCTTTTCTACACTGCGCATATATACGCACTCGTCGGCGTTAAGGGGAAAGCTGCATTCAAGTAGAACATAAAGTTGACGGAAACTCGGGGACTGCGCTCACCTGATAGGCCCTAAGAAGGGCGAAAAGGATCATGGGCTGTCGAAGAGTTTTCAGCGACCTTATGAGTAGTTTCCTTTATGGAAGCGGCATTCTTCCGCCCAGTGTTTCGCCCGGTGATTCCAAATTCCGTGACTTTCCAAGGTTTTCAATGAAGGGTGAACCTGGGCCATTATATATGGCACAATGTTAGAGTAGATTTAGACAGGTATTGGACCACGAACACAAACTGAAAAGGGCTATCATAGCTTCCGGCAAGCGTGGGGGACATACCGACTCTCATTTTTTAGGAAGTTTAAAATGAGGAACATTTTCTGATCAGTGGCATCACTGGCTCTTGATTGTCTTGTACCTTGAATTTGTGGACTAATAGTTTGTCAAGAGCTGAACCGCAGGCCTTCGCTAATTTGAATAAATCGGCATACAAGAGGAGCTCATTGTCTTTGGCTCGATCCAAACTATCAATGAAAGGGAGCAATTTATGCTGCTAATAATAATACCGTTTTTTCTTGGAGCCGTATAATGTAATTTTGGGCAAGATCATAATAGTGACAGTGAGATGAGGGCAAAGCGGACACTAATTGAGGGGCCCCAGAGTTTCATGGTTTGACGGATGTATAAAAGCAGGTGAATGGGGTCTTACAAAAAATTGGCCCAACCTAGGTGCAGCGGTCCCCCAAGGTGGTGGAACTCAGAAGTGTGGGCGAAAGTTGAGACCCAGCAGATGTGTGATTAAAAGAAGCTAACATAACCAGAGTATGGCAGAATGAGGCTCAACACTTGATACCCAGTGGTGGTAACCGTCGCAAAACTGGGGTGACAGCAAGGTGAGTTCGGCTCAAGCCCCACATCACAAAATGTGGATAATGGACCGTTCTTAAGCCGGATGCGGAAGAAGAATCAATGCAAGAGAGTAAAGGTTAAGTTGAAAACGGATTAATTAGATGGTCTTGGGAGGTAAGGCCTAACGGAGCAGGCAAACTTTTTGTGCACTTAGAATCACACGATCGTTCTGTGAAGAGCAACTGACTTGTGAAACAAATGGACAGACTGTGCCGTGGAATGGGGGCTAAATGTAATGTACATTCAGGGGATTGAGCGGTGACTCCTACGCAAGTAACATGCTCAGCCCTAGAGAAAGGTTAGGTATACAAACGACAGGAAGGCCGGGATAATGATTGCACCGGTTGCCGCGCCATCATAGTTGCGTCGTAATTTGGATCGTCAGTGGCCCTATACATCTATGTCATGGGTAAATTAGATGAAGTTATTGGGATATTTAGTACTGCCCAAGTAGTTTTGAGTGAACTGAGCAAACGTGGATCAAGGAGGTTCTTGACCCCATCATGAGCATACAGTGCAATAGGGCCCGATCGGGAAGGTTATGGTTGGTGAAGTATGGCGGTGGAAGCTCCAACCGAA